GGGCAGCTGCTACATGTGTGAGCAGGGCTGCAAGGGGTATAGGCGGCGTGGCCAGGGTGGGGAGAGGGGGCGGGGAGGGAGCTGCCCACTGCACTGCCAGCTGAGTCATTTCAGAACTGGGGCTTGAAGCTGGCCGGATGGCGGCAGGGATGGCTGTAAATGCTTGGGCCCCTGTAACCAGCCCTTCTTAATGGCAGCACTCACCAGTTGAAGAGGGACAGGGGAGGGGGTGCTGCTGCCAAAGACATAACAGAGGTGGGGACCCTAGAATTTATCCCCAGAGTGGCAGCAACAGTGTGGGGGGTGCACAGCAAGGGGCTCAGTGGTGGAGGCCACTCTGAGTGGCTGGCTCTGGCAGGCATGGATCGGGGCATGCCGGAGGGCTGGAGCTTTCCCTGGAAGAAGGCCGTGGGGGTAGTGTTTTGCTGCACCTGCCTACAGAAACGTGGCCCCCTGGGAAAATCACCCATGTGTCCTGAACGGAAGAGGAGCCGCAGTACAGCCTCCCGCTGCAAGGTAATACACCCATTCCCTCGCCCTGGGGGTGACACGAGCGCCCGGGGAGCTGCATGGCCTTATGCCCAGTGGAGAGGGGGACCATGCCCCATCAGCACCCAGGGCCCCTTCTTTAGGATGGTGCCCAGGCATGCTGTTGTGTGCAAGCACTCTGAGTGCACATGGGCATGGATCTGGGGGCAGGGGGAGAGGGGATTGTGCATGTGCATGTGACTGGGTAGATACATGTGTACCCACAGATCTACCAGCCAGGGAAGGTACAGGGAGGTGCCTGCTGAGCCACAGCCTAGGACCCACAGGTTCCCACGCCCTGACATTTGCCTGGCCTGTGCCCTTTCCCCTGAGTCCTGCATAAGCAGAAGTAGGCTGCTCATGGCACAGGTGCTTCCTGTGGCACAGGTGACCCATGTGCCGCCTCTCTGGGTGTGTGCAGAGAATGGCCAAGCAGCCACCAGGGGGTGCTGGTGAGAGGGACCAGGCCTTGGTCCCAGCACATGAGAAGCTGTCACCTTTTTTTGCATCTAGCTCTTTTGGCTCCTGCCTCCTCTTTCCATTGCTGGGGGCTTGGTGAGCACCTGCTGCCCAGCCCCCAGGGGCTCCTTTCTAAGCCAGCAGGGCTCAGGCCTGTGGAGGCCAGGCACAACCTCAACCCTTCTCCTTGCTTTCCTCCCCACCCCTTCTCCTCAGCTCCTCCTCGCATGGCTGAGAGGGGCCTGTGCTCTGGTCTGTCCTGGGCTGCTAGCTCTGGCTGCTTCACTCAGTGGTGCATTACAGCAGTGCATGGGTCAGCCTCATTAGAAATAATTCATTAGAAAGACCAAGCTGGTTCCCATGGGAAGAATGGTTTCCGTTGGCCTTTCTCCTCTACCTGCTCAGGACAGGTTTTGGGCAGGTGTGGCTGCTCCTTCACACTGTCCCTGTGCACGTGTGCCTTCTTGTATGTGTGTGTGGATGCAAGCGGACAAGGGCAGGTGGACTGTCATGTTTAGCAGCTGTGTGTGCAGGGGGCAGAGGGGCAAGCTTGGCTGCTATGAGGTACACTGACACCGGGGTGTCCACTTCACCTTAGCCTGGCTCAGGAGGAGTTGGAATGGGAGGGTGTGAGAAGGGGACTGCCAGTGGTTCTGCATTGGGCAGGGAGGGACTTTGCCAGAGTTCAGGCCCGGGACTTTCCTGCTTCGAGTGGACACTGCGGGGCAGCAGTTCTGCACAGGGCCAAGAAGAGCCATGACAGCAGGGCAGAGGAAAGGCCAGGCGGAGCTGAAGGCAGTGAGGTTCTGGCATAGCTGTGCTCCAACTTGGCATGGCTCAAGGTGAGGGAGGGAGAGGTCCCTGGTGCCTCGCACTGCTGCTGATTTATTGATCTTGGTCAGCGTGGTTCCTAATTGGTGTGTGGGAGCCAAGATGGACAGCTGTACCCAGCACCTTAGGATTACGCAGCTGGTCAGTGGCTGGCCTGAGGCTGGCAGCCCAGGTGGTCACCCCTCACTGCCAGGTGGCTACACGGCTGTATCAGGCTGATGCTACCTACCTCCCCTGTGCCTTACTCCATGGCCTCTGATCTATCCTGCACATCCCTTGAGCTACAGGAAGAGACCTTCTTCCACACCCAGGTCCCACGTGCAGCACCATCCAGGCTGCCACCACCAAGCCCCCCATTCACTATGCCAGCCCCATCTCCCCAGCAGGCTGTTCCTACAGCCAGGCCCCTCTGAGTCAGTAGCGTGGGAGGACTATGGCTGGCCCACAGCCTGGGGATGAGGGAAGCCCACAGACCCTCCCACAAATGCCAGGCTAGCTTAGGGGGTTTCTGGTAAGGGGAGAAATGCTGCACTGTGCCTGAGTGGAGTTGCTGGTACATGTGGGGTTGTGTTCCCCACAGGTGGCATGGGGGCACGGGGAGGCTGAGAAGACAGCCTGCCTTCCAGAAGCTCCCTGCTGCCACAGGCTGCTCCCAGCCCTTGGGGAACCAGCTCCCCGTGCAGTTGGGTGGGTCATGGCAGAGGCATTTTGGGGCTGGCTGCCTTGGGCAGGCTCCTGGAAGTGCTGCCTCTGTCCAAAGGGTTCCTGGAAGCAGCTTTATGTTCTTAGAAACATAATATAAGCTGGGGCATGAGGCGGTGTGGGGAGGGAGGTGGCAGCCTCACAGAGGCCATGGCAGCCAAGCCAAAGCTGTAATTGTACAGCTACGAAGGATTTTTCTTTCCTTAAGATGCTGGGAACAGGCAGGACTGACTGTTCCTGCTTGGCTGGCAAGACTCAAGATCCCAGGGAAACCCAGGGCTCTCAGAGTCCAGGTGGGGTTAACTGTGAGGCTGGGGCGGTTTCACGCTGTGGGATGGTGGGGAGGAAAGGGGCCGGGGCGGAGGCATAGCTCCCATCCATCAGGGATGGCTTCCCCACTCCAGATGTTGTGGGGAGTCCTTATCACTCCTGGGTCTTATTCTCATCCTAGACACTGGATCCCTGCTTTCCTTTGGGCAAATCATAGCAGCCCTGTGTCCCTTCCTGTCTTGTGGGAATGACACCCACTCTTCCCTTTCAGCATGCGTTGAGATGCAGCTCTGCTGGGAGTTGAGGGCCATGTCCTTGGCAGAGAAGGCACCTTGCATCTCTGCCTGGTGCAGTGGCTACAGCTGGCTTCCCTCCATGGGAACCATTCTGTATTGTCACCCCCCAGCATCAGAAGCTCAAGTCCCCACCACACCCTCCTCCAGGTGAGCTCAACCCATCTGTGGCAGATGTACCAAGGCCCAGACCCTCACTCTGCACTTGGATTTTGGGGACACGAGCTTACAATCCTTGCTCTGTACTAGCCTGACATCACTTGTATCTTTCAATCATCCAGAGGGGTTTGCACATGCAACCTTAGCCAGGACCTCCTCCCCCCATGCCACAGGGTGGCGTCTGCTGATACTTTCCACCCCATCTCCCCAGCACTCTGCAGTCCTTCTTGGAGAACAGCAGCATATGAATGCTCAGGGTGAAGCTTCAGCCTGTGATCTATGCCAGGAAAACAAATCTGGAGAGGGGGAGGCTTGCCAGAAGGAGAATGTCAGTGAGTTGAACTGACCCCTTGCTGAAAACTCAATGTAGCAGAGGTCGGTCTTACTGCTCTTGTTTGCTTAGCATGGGCATGTTGGGGATGGAGTTTAATCTAGTAAAAGTAGGTGACTGGGAGTGAGGAGGGTCCTATTGACTGGGTCATAATGCTTTCTCAGGGAGGCAGGATCACTGAGTGGCTAGAGCAGGCAATTAAAAGGCAGGATTCATGGATTCAGTGACCATTGATAAGAAAGTGAGACCACAGGTCTGGCTGGCAGGACTCCTGAGTTTCTTCCCTAGCTCTGCTACTGATTCACTGCATGACCCTGCAGTGACATCACTTACCCTGCCCATGCCTCAGGTTTCCTCATTTGTCATCACTGGCTGGTCTTAAGGCTGAATTCAGTGACTGTGAGCACCAAGGTATGGTCCCAGTCGGGTTGAGGAGGTGGTGTGCCACTCTTGAGAAAAGCACTGCCCACTTCTCCAGAGCCCTGCAGAAGCAAGAACCTATCTCAAGCCTGTGGGGTGCCCTGCTGTGCCCACACAGTGCTGCCATCTCTATTCCCTCCTGCATGCAGCCAGCAGCAGCAGCGAGCTATAGCTGGGAAATTACAGCAAAGCCACAGCCCAGATAAGGCTCCCTGCTGGGGCTGGTGGTTTGGAACAGACATGGTGATAACTGCTGGGGACAGACTAGAGGAGGCAGACAGGGGATGCAAGAAGCCACCGGCGCCATGGGCGAGGTAGGGCAGCTCCTGGGCTCTATGCCCTGGAGATGCTGGGGGATGGGGGAGCCTTGTTCCTGTCACCCTTTATTGCTATCTCTCTTCTTGTAGAAGTGTGTGTGTGGTGGGGGAGGTGGGGATCAGGAACCCTCCCTAGAACCTGGTAGGGGAAATCTTGGTGTCAGGACTGGCCACGTAAGGGGCAAGGAGGGGAGTGTTGTGGCCAACACTGTGTGTGTGTGTGTGTGTGCGTGCGTGCGTGCGTGCATGCGTGCGTGTGTGTGTGTGTGTGTGTAAGGGTCTTGGGGACTGAGGTACAGTGACTATGGTGAGAACACGTGCCTGGATGCCACGATGGTGGGCGCTGTGTGAGCATCTGCATGGACAGCCCCAGTGGATGGTTTGATGCGTGTTGGGGTGGGGAGGGAGGGGTCCTACGTGGTTCCCACAGCACCTTTGCAGCTGGTGCTCTAGCTATTCCTGTGGCTGGTGGCAAGATGAAGGGGGAGCTGAGCCTGAGCTGCCCTGGCCCCAGAGCTGGGGGGAGCTTGTGTTGCTGTTGTCCCTACTCAGGGGCTTCTCCCCACTGGTGGAATGGGGGTCTCCCAGCCTCCAGGGGGGAAATGGGACTAACTCCTCCCTCCTGTCACCTGCTGCAGGAGAACACAGAGTTGAGGACCTCTGGGCACAGACTTCGGGAGTGGATCCGTGGGAGATCTCACCGCCTCACCACCCAGAACCAAGGCAAAGGTAAGAAGCTCACTCATATCCCCACCTGTGTCATGGACCCTCACCAGGGAAGAGAGATCTGTGGGGATACAGCCCCCTCAGCCTCACACATGGGGGAACTGAGGCACAGAAAGAGGCAGGGCTAAGCTGATGAGTTTTCATGGTGGCAGGGCTGGGGGTGGACCCCAGGGTGGGGGCTCTGGGCACAAGTTCAGGCCCACCCATTTCAGTACCCAGACTGGGTGTGACAGCCCTGCCCCAGGCTCACAGGCTTCTGTCCCCATACAGACTTTATGGGGAGAGTCTGCCACCCTTGTGCCCACTGCAGGCAAGCAGTTGTGCCCACCACTGGCTCCTTATGTGCTCAGGAGGTGGCAGCATGTGGTCCAGTGCAGAGGTACCTGGACTGGGAGCCAGAAGTTGGTACTGGCTCTGACACTGCCTCAGGGAAAATCACATCCCCTTTTTGGGCTTCAGTTTCCCCACCTGCCTCTTGCTAGCTCCTTATGGCAGGACCAGGACTGGGGTGATACCTGGCATGACAGTACCCTTTAGGGGAGATACATGACAAGGGGTTCATGATCCATGGGCCTACTGCCCAGGGGCTGAGCTGGGGTGGGAGGAAAGGAACCCCAAGGCCTCTTACCCCTGGTGAGAGTGTGACTGACAGCAGCAGAGTGACCACCCCCAACCATCTCTGTCCTGCTATCGAGGGACCCTCTAAGGGGTTATGGGTGGGGACTGATACTTGTCTGCAAGGGGGCATGATGCTGTCAGCGGGGAGGGGAGGGGAGGGGTGGCTTTTGTACATGGCCTCTTGGCTCAGGTCCTCTGAGGGTCCCAAAGTGCACAACTCCCATCATTTTCATCAGATGTCAGTGGGAGTTTGGTACCTAAATCCCTTTGGAAGTCTGGGCCTTGGATGCTGAGATCTGGAATGAGACTTGCCAAACTCATCACACCCAGGCTACCAGTGAGAGGCCCAGATGGGTCTGACCAGCCCAGAAGGGAACTGGCAGTGGAAGAAGCAGTCTCCACAGACCACATCCCCTCTGGCCCATACCCCGGGGCTAGGTTTAAATATAGCAGGGCTGTGTCCCCTGCCCCTCCTTATGTCACCCAACCACGGGTGGGACATGGCTGGATCCAGCCCCTGGCTGGGGAGCTGTCTCCCTCTCCCCCACCTGGGGCTGGACACTTAGCAGAGAATGGCACCAGTGGGGTTAGGAGGGGTTTATAACAACAGGAAAATGGGGCATTCCATCAGTGACTGCTTCATGCTGGGGGACATCCACCCCCACACAAGGACCAGTAGACCAGCTGGGTGCTTTTCCCTCTAGGGTGGGAGGTTGATAATTTTTTTGCCTGTCCCAGCCCCAAGCAGGATCTCATTGGGCTTTGGGAAGAGGTTTCCCGGCATGACATCACCACCTGCAGCAGCACATGGGGTCCACACGGGCCCTTCTCCTCTCCTTGTGGCCTTCTCCACAAGGTCCCTTCTCCTCCTCAGCCCCGTCCCCTGTCCCCAGGGCTGAGCTCTCCTGGCATGTGCTGGAAGCTGCCCCTGTGGCTGGCACCTGGCCTTGTCCTTGTGACCAGATCCCAGGGCTGTGAGGAGGGGTTGCTCCACTCCCAGCTGGACACATGCTGACTGTTGCTAAGTGATTTCTCCAGAGGGTGCCAAACACCATCCAGCAGTGGTGGTCCATGCTCTGAGGGGGAGAGGGAGGGGACGAGGGCACCTGGGGCCAAAACTCACAGGGACCCACAGAGTCTTTTATGGGCCTAATAATAATATCTATCCATTGCTCCCCATACACCCCGGCATTGATTCCAGAGTCTCTCCCAGGTTATTCCCAGGGCTCCCACCACAGCTGTGTCCCAGCTTAGCCTCCCCAACCATTTCCTGCATCCCAGAGCTGCACTGAGTCCTCTCTCAGGCTTCCTTGTCTCCAACCTGGAGCACTTTGTCCAGCTAGCTGTGTTGCACAGGGAAGGAGAGCTGATGGGAGTTGGGGGTGGAGAATCAAATCCACTCACCGTGCGGTGCCGGCAGGAAGCATTCTGATTAAACATTGCATGTTGCAAGCCTGGCTCTGATGGGGCCCGGAGGGCTTCAGGCACCCCCTGCTAGCCCCTAGATGGGGGTCTTGCACAGGGAAGTCCAGCTTCTACCACTGGGGACCCGTCTGTGAAGGCACAACGGGCGTTTTATGCGGCTGGAGTGCTGCCCCTCAGCCAGCAGCCTGTGTAATTGCAACACATGGATACGGGGGAGCAGAGGCTGTTCATGGAGAGGAAGAAAAGCCCAACACTCACCGCAGGCTTTGAAGCCACAGCTGCGCTGCCTCTTCCCTCCCCCTCTCCCCACATGGCTATACCAGGCCTCAGGGCTACCAAGGGGACCTCTTCCGACCCCAGCTCCCAGTCCCCAAATACCTGCGCTAAGGGAGTGCTGCTGCTACAGACACCCCTGAGACATTGCACTAGGCAGCATACTCTGTGTTCTATCGCAGCAGAGGACTAACAGCCAGGGCTCCTGGGTTCTTCGCATCTCTAGGATGGTAATGACATGTAGTGGGTAGAAGAAGGGTGGGTAGGCTCTAAGCCAGGACTCCTGGGTTCTGTTCCCAGTTCAGGACCAGTAGTGTGACAACGTGATTATAGCATAGGTGGGGACACAGAGCTAGGCCTCCTAGGTTCTCTTCCCATTGCCAGGGTGGTAATGAGGTACAATGGTTAGAGGAGCAGTGGGCAAGCTGTGAGCCAGAACTCCTGGCTTCTGTCTCCAGCTCCATTCATGACTTGCTGTGTGATCTCAGGCCACTTCCTTCCACCCCGTTATCCCACCTGAAAAATGGGGCACCCCAATCCTTACACCCCCAGGGAGTGCAGGTGGCAAATGCTTGTGCAGCTCTTTGGGGTCATGTGATGTGGGGACTCAGCACTACTGGGACTGCTGGAATCAGAGCTGGGGAATCTGCAACCTCCTCCCCTCTCCTCCCTACTAGGGGTCCAGCATCTGTGAGAAGTGATGGTACCAGCAACTCTATCCACTATGCTGAGCCCGTGACACACAGCAGACAGTCCCTGCACCACACAGTTTACAGCCTCAGTAGAACAGCTGGGGAGACTGAGGCACAGGGCTGGTTATTGACTTGCCTGGTGGCTTGTGTCCTCAGAGAAGGGGCAGATGCTGGGATATGGCTGCTGCCCCTGCTGGTGCTGGGAGGTTGTGGATGCCCTGGGCCATCTGAGGCATTTCTCAGCAGCAGTCTGAGCCATTCTTGGCCAGGACAAGAGCAGGGTTGTGGTACAGGCCCAGAGCTGGAAGCCAGGATGCTCGGGTTCTGTTCCTAGCTCTGACTTCATGCAGGTTACAATGTGGCAGAGTCTGAGGGGACTCTGGGTTTAATTTCTGATCCAGCTAAAGCTTGTCTGTCTGATTTCTGCCAAGGAGCCCAGCCTGGCAGCTAGGACCCTTGGGGTCTAATTCCCAGGGCTATGTGCCTGGTTTCTCACTCTGTAAAAGAGCAGTGGCATCTGTCCCCTCTCCCAGTGTGGGGCTGAGTGAATGCTTGTGAAGGACATCAAGAGCCTGCCTAAATGGCCAGTGGTTACCCTTTTGGAGGCTCTGGTGTCCTCTCCATCAGGGAGATGTAATATTGTGATTGTCAGTAGAGGGTATTGGATGCCTTCAGTCAACATGGCCCTCAGGCCCCTTCTGCACCAGACCCACAGCACAGTGATGGCTTTTCTCACTGAGCTACTGTGCAGGGCGGGTGAACACACAGCGCTCCACACAGAGGCTGCTCCTGCCTTAAGGCATGGAACCCTCTCTTCACTCCTTAACTCCAGGGCAAGGGCCCAGGTGCATCCTGGGAAACTCCCCTTCCTCTCAAGCTATTAAGCAGAACAGGCAAGGTGGTGCCAGGCTGAGTGAAGCAGTGCCTGAGCCAGGCTGGTGCAGGGGGCGGAGTGTGGGTCAGGTTCCCGGTGGCTGGACCCCGCTAAGGGCAGTGGATTGGAGGGACGATTCATGGAGCATTTAGTTTGGGGATGTGGGCTGGTCACTGAGCTCTGGTTCTCCATTCAGAGATCCCAGGTCCTAGGCGGTGAAAGGGCGTGGCTGTATCTCAGCCACAGCCTGGGGGGTCCAGGCAAGAGCTGACCCTAGTGTCCTGGGTGCTGCACAGAAGCCCAGCAAGTGATAGTTTCTGCCCCAAAGAGTTCCCAGTCCAACATGGGGTGGAAGGGGAAACTGAGGCACAGAGCAAGGAAATTGACCTGCCCAGGCCTAGATTTTGGGGGTAAGGCTCAAGTGGGATGAGCAGCTTGGGAGAGCCCAGAGTGCTGAGATGGGGTGGAGCACTGAGCAGTGGAAACTCAGAGGCTGTTAGGGGCACCTGGGGATCCATGTCCAGCTTTGCTCTTTCCTGAGCTGTCTCCTGCCCACACAGGGGGCCATGGGGCAGTGAACATGCAGGAACCACTTGAGAGCCAAGCTTTTCACTCTGGAACCACCTTACCCATTGCAATGGCTCCTCAGTGGTGCAGCTGAGGGGCAATGCTTGCATCGTGAATTTTGAACATTAATCCCTGTGGGTTGCACAAGGTTCTGGTGGAAAATGTTGCTCCAGCGCTTCATTGTGATTTATGACTCAGCTGCCACT